TAAATATAATATCACAGGGTAAGAATATGGGCTCATAGTCACACAAGTAGAAACATTCTTCTTTTTTGCAGAAACACAGGTGTTTATACCTTCATTACATTTGTATTATACATTTTCTAAACATTGTAAATACTTTGTAAGAGCTTAAATTTTATAAAATTTGTAATAAGATGACTTAATTTAATAGCATTTTACAATACAAGAAATAATGATGATGCCATTTTTGTAGTTAGGGGGGTCCTTTGTTTCACCAGAGCTCCCCTTTCAGCGGCACGCGGTGAGTTCTCAGGTGAGTTTCTCAACAAGACAGAGACTCAGTTAAATTGAAAGAGTGGGTTTATTAGGGAAAAGGACAGGAGTATCATACACTTGCATAGGCACAAGAGGGCAGGAAGATCTGCCCCAACAGGGACAGGTTTGCTGAGAGGCCACATGTTGCAAGCAGGCAGTCATAGGAGAGTGGCCTCCATTGAGGGAGGTCAGTGCAGAGAAGTCCCGGCATGGCACAGGTCACAGGCAGGCAGGAGGCTGCTGCTCTATAGAGGGAGAGAGTGGATGGAAAGAAGCACCTGCAGAGTCACAGGTGGGCAGAGGACCGCTACCCATGCTGGTGCAGAGACTGCCCTGATACAGACATCTTCTCTCTGGGAGGGGCCCACTCCTTATGAGCCTGGGTTTGTTGATTTTGAATAGAATCTGACAGGGACAGTAGATCCCACAATGGGCTCCATCTCCAGATCTGTATCTTTCACCTTTTGGGTCGTGGCTGTAGACACTGCCCTCAGCAGTCTGCTACCTGTTTGGATCTTCCTCTGTAATCCAGGCATTGGCACCTGAGGATTTTGATTTCTATGGCTATGTCAACAGCTATGCTAATCCCTCCTGCCCAACTCTCTGTGTGAGTCAGTCTTGTGATGTCTCCTTTCTATTCTTTCCTCCATCAGTTACATCATTGAGTCACAAATTCATTCAAGATTTAGTAGTCAAATTAAGTGATCAAGTTAATTTGAAATGTTATTCAGTGTCCCCCAAAGGAAACAATATAATACCAGCTTTAATGGACATTGATTCACAGCTGAAATACAATAAATTTCTAAAGCACAGACCTTAGTGCTGTATGGACCTTCTGCTTATTGGAATATAGAACTTGGAAATATGAAAATGTTTACTATAAAGAGAGGAACAGATAAGAGACAACTCATGTGAAATTTATATTCACAAATAAAATGACAGCAAACATCCATTATTCTCATTCTTTCCAATAACACTGAAAAACATCCATTATTCTCATTCTTTTCAACCACACATTGCAAAGTAATAGAAACACAAAGTTTCCCGAGTGAGGAGAAAGGTTGTTCCCAGCATGCCAACATCTGTCCTCAATCAACTTGTAGGTAACAACACCATGTCTTTTGTTCGATTCTGGTACCATAAATTAGTGTTGCTTGTTTTTGCAATGTATATAGTGTTGCATCAGGCAACACCACAATGATAAAGAGGAGTTGTGGAGCACAAAGCAGGACGCTGCTGAAGAGCAAGATGCTGGCCTTTTAGTTGATAAAATAGTCATGCACATCAGCTGTGAGAGGAGGGAGGCCAAAAAGAAAAGCAAGGGTGAAACTAGAACCATGCTCAGTCATCCATAGTATCGGCACCTGTGAGTCTGCCCTCCAGACACTTCCCCTCTGCTTGATGACTCAGTATTGTAGCTGAGATCAAACGACCTTCCCCAGTCAGAGTTTCCATCTTAACAATAAGGCTTTCCACTGCTCAGCTTCTGGCGTCCCTTGTCGTAGCTGCTTGGGGCGTTCCCGGTCACACCCTGTGAATCACACCCTTCCCAGGGTGATCAAGCTTCCTGCTCTGGGTGGATGTGAAAGGCACCAAGTAAGGTTTGACCCCTAAGACTGATTGACTGGGCAGTTCTGACTTTCTATAGGAATGCAGAATTGCAGGTAGCAAAAAGCATTGCCAAACTGGCTGTTTAGGATTAGCAGACCCATAATATAGCTTAAGTTAATCTAAATTTTCATGTGTTCTGCCTGTCTTCCTCATTCTCCCAAGAGTCCTCTGAGACTCATCTCCACCTTAAGGAAGCTGACAAGCTGGATATAAATTACAGTGGCAAGTGGCTTAAATGCACAGATTAACTGAAATCAGTTGGGGTTCAGTTTGAATACTGGATTCACATCCATTTCACCAATAGCAAGATGGAAAGTCATGGTTACCTCCAGGAAATTTTGAGATACTCAAAATCTAGGAAGGTGAGTGTGGGAAAACTATGCACCCCTCTCTAAACTTTTGTGGTTTTCTTCAGACAGGTTTTTATAGACAAGTCTATCACTGATCCAGATATCGGTGAAGAGTGGATTTCTAGTGAACTATTACCAATTAGGAAGCATGGATGGATGGATGGATAACAGTCTGTAAGTCCAGTATCAGCAAGAAATAAACCTATCAAGATGATCAATGCCTCCAATGACTTTGTTTGAAAACATTTATTACACCAATCATGTCTGAATTGATCATACTAATGTGGAAAATATTTATTGATGACTATAACAATGTGACTTTAGTGAGGGAACCCACAAGGTAGATGAGACATACAATGAAGACAGCTAATGCTCACATCAGGATAAAAATACTGGTTTCTATTAACTCCTGCCTTTTTGCTTCTATTAACTCCTGTCACTTTTTCTTTTGAAATGATTATAATTTGACAGAAAGTAGCAGTCATACAGGTCAGGGAGCTTACTTTTCTACAATATTAAAATTTTGCATACCTAGAGCACATACCAAAAAGAGGACATTGGCATTATTATAATCACATTTCATCATTTGCAATCACTTTTGCAAACATCATGAGCTTGAGTATGTTTACAGTTAAAAAAAACACAATAATGATTTCATCCTTTCCTTTATTTACAGTTAGATATTAATGAGTTTGTTCAAAAGCAGCGAATGCTAGCATGTACTGCTCACACAACACAACCTAGCTTCAGGCGAGTGTGCCTATATTTGCCAGTGAAGAACGTTGGCTTCTACTATTTTAGTGGTGTGAACTTTTATAACACACCAGCCATTAGCATGTGCAATACTGTCTTTAGTGTGAAGAACACACCATTACAGAAGCTCTAGGAAATCACTTATATTTTGCTAACTCTAAACATTCTTATGGCAGAGTGAACACCCCTGCCACTTTTACTAATTGAGTAGCTGACAATGTTTTAATTTCTAAAATGTTACCCAATATCTTTGAATTTATGCTATGGATTTAGAATACTGCATTGCTCTTTTAACATATGTTCTCATGTCATAGCTGTATTTCAATGGACAGTTACATATTCAATCAGGGATAATGACCAGACACTATTACACAAGAAAATTTCATTTTTTTGTATGAAATTAAAAGCACCAAGACAAGTACTTTTCAGCAAGAGAAATAAACAGGTAAAATTAAAACCAAAATGACAGTCACTTTTGCTCCAATTTCAGGAATAACGCATAACTCATTCAGACCCCAAGGGAAAACTACATATATATATATATATAAGCTCTTTCTTCACCCTTGGCACACAGTTTCAGCTAACTTATAAATTGAACTATTTGACGAGAAAGAGCATCCAAATAATGGGGCCCAGCTGTAACAATACTTTGAATAAAACTGACATTTGCCACTTGGGTATTGTAGCACAGGGTGTATAAAGCCACAAGAAAACACATAACTTGCGTCAACGTGCCTTCATGTCTCTCCCTGTGCACATCTGTTCCCACTGACAAGCCCATCACGTGAAGCGGCAGCGAGAGCTCCTGTCAGAGCAGCAAAGAGCTGGTTTGCTGCACTGTGGCTTCTCCACCTCTTGCAGCTGGAAACAGCCTCTGTGGTGAGCTGTTGGGTGAGCTTGGGGTTCTCATTATCAACTAACACATTGAAGATGACAAGTTGGTTACTTCCTGTTTTTTTTTTTTTTTATAATGTAGTAGTTTATTTTTACATCACTTGTGCCTTTTTCCATCTCAGTTGTGATCCCCGTGGGCTTCCCACCACTTCACTGAGCCATCACCATAGAAAGCTCAGTGCTTTTTACTAAGCATCACTGAAATTGTGCTGAGCCTTTTTTTTTTTCTCTTTATCAGGCAAATCCATCTGTTGTGAAGCTCTACTGTCAAATTGTCTGATTATAAAATTTAGGCAGAAAGAAAAGGCTAAGGAAGTAAAGCCTCAAGAATTGTAAGAAAAATCTTTGTTGGTGATTGAAGTCAATTTTGTCCATTTTTTCTACTCCAGTACAGACTGCATTTTAAAACACTTTGAATGTGTCTAACAATATTTAAATACCTCCTGGTGCTCTAGAACCATGTTTAACAATTATCTTGCCTTCTCAAAAATATGATTATACTGACAAGATTTACTTTGAAGTACCACAACAGGTCTTCCTGGTGGCAAAATGGGTTAAGTCTCAGCATGATAAAGCTACTGGCAGCCATTGCAGCACTAGCTTGAGACCCAGCCAGAGAGCTGACCCACATGGCGCAGCAGACCTCTACTGTCTTGCCTGCTACTCTCCTCAGCGGTGTGTTCCTCTCCCTGCTCTGTTTCTGGTGAATCTTTTCATCCCCTGAACCTCTGGCCTACACTCCAGCTCTTATATGCATAAATGAATGAAATAAATCTTAAAAAGAAAGAACTAAAACATCTTAAAATTACAGAATATCTCTTTCCAAGCATAGAGGTTTTCTTATATAATCTATTTCAACAATGTTTTTTCACATTTTTCCCTTTGTATTATTTCCTATGTTGCTGATATTTGTTTTCATTGTATTCATTTACTGCTAGACATAGTTAGTTAAAAATGAAAAAATCATGGACAGCAATGTATAATTATATCAATTTTTAGATAAATCAATAATTTACATAGTTGAGGTCCTCACTATGGGAAATCTTAGATATTCACTCTTTTCACTCTCATGTATTTTTCAGATCTGGATAGTCTTCTTACAGATACAGTAGCCACTAATTTTGCAATCTTCAGCATTTGTTCGTCCATTTCTTACATGTAGGCATTTGTTTCTAGCATTTGTAACTGTAGGAAAATAAAACCTAGAAGAAAAAATAATTTCCATTAAAGGTTGAATTTGCAAACAGAATATTTGTATTTTTAAAATCGACACTATTTTAATGCCCTCTATGAAGCAAAAATGCAACTTTCTAAGTTCTTCATACTGCAAACAACAATTAATTTGTGTCTTCCAAATTTCAGTATTATCTCTGGAATTTCTGTGGTACCAACTTAATTCTGATAAATCTCCATAACCTCAGGAAATTTCAATGTCTTCCATTGTCACTGAGATTTACAGATTGCTTTTACACTTGCATTAATACACAAATGCAAAACACATTAATAATCGACTCTTTTCTGAAAAATACATGGTAATTCCTGAAGGAGGGTGTGTGGCCACTATATGAAACTGCATTAGAGATGAAGTGCAGTCACTGAGAACTGTAGGCAAATCTGAAGCATTAGTTGAATATGGAACTTGTTGGAAAATCATTTTTACTTAGAATTATTGGAAAGTAGTATGCATATTATAGTCATAAGATCTCATAGGATAAATCATATATTTAAATTAGCTTTTTATACTTGAAGATTTGACATTAATTTATTGTTAAGATTCAATAGAGAAAAATAGAAGATGCAACAAATGAGAGATCGTATCTTCACAGAGTTTTTCTGTGTAGCAGATACCCTCCACATATTGCAATTCAATGTTGAGTTATTTTTTGTAACTACCCTAGATGGTAGGTTCTCTTATTCACCTTATTTTGTAGAAGACATAATAGAAACTGTAACATAAATTGTTTGAGTAACATTGAAAGGGCAAACAAGCCATTAGCCCAGACACTGTCAATCCTGTGCTGTCAATTAGTCACCACATTACACTACGTAAGTAAAGACAGGAAGTCTGGGTGTTAATATTTCAGCATTTCCCAGCGTCTCACAAAACCAGCCTCTACAAATAATTGTGATCTACCTGATATCACTGGGAGTCACAAAAAGATGTATTTGCAGTAAATGAAGTGAAATTTCAAAACAAAGGAGTTAGGTTTAGAAAGATAAAGTATCAATTATAAGACACAAAACATAAAGCAAATATGGAAATGAACTTCAAATGATAACTACAGTGAATCAGCATTTCACTTCATAAACCGTGCAATGGAGAGTTTCATTTTATATTGACTGCTACAAACATGTTTTTGTGCTGTATTTGGAATATATATGTGTATACTAAAACAGAGTTTAAAATACTGTTTAAGTTGGAGTTGTTGATCGAAGAGATATAATCTTGGAAAACAACTCTTAGGAGAGCAACATCTTTTTTCAAAGACATTTCTTTTTTGTTGCACAATTATGACTAAGTTCCATGAACATATCAGCAATACTAATTGTTCTTGACTTTAGCACACCCAGACAAACTGATCATAAATTGAAAATATAAAAACCCATTTAATATCCCTAACTTCCTGAACATGGTATCTTAATCTCACCTCCCTTAACAAGTTCAGAACATTCACAGTAGCCTACAGCTCTGAAAATCATCTAACACAGCCTCATTTAGAAAATGTTGAATATCCTACACAATTTGCTGAGGCTGTACTGAAAAGGGCTAAGAGTTGGAGGCGCATGGGTGTTGACCCTTGGACGGCCTGGCTGAGTAGGAGCTGACCACATCTTGAGTGTGACACCAAAATCAGCCAGGAAAAGAACAAAACTAAAGATTCAAAGTCCAGTTTCTACCAAATGCCTGTGATTTTCCAGGCCACAATAAAACTGAAAAATCTTAAGGCAAACCAATGTAAGTTATGAGCTAGCTGTGATAGATTATAACACAGAGTGAGTACATGGGACCTGGTATTGAGACATCAATTATGCATTATTCAGAGTGATTGCATTGTTTAAAGTCTTCACCCACTACTACATGTGTAGTCTGATAAAGTGACTAACTGCTCCTTCATCATACAGTAAATAGTTGCTAAAATACTCCAAGAATGTTTTATAGGGATTTTTGTTTTTATAAGTCATAGTAAGAGGTTATTATTTTAATATTCAAACCATTTATTTGGCTAATTTTATCACTAATAGTGAGAAAGTTTGTTTTTGTTTTTGTTTTTTTTTTAACCACCACATTCAATTATTAATGGTCTGACTTCACATCTATGAGAAAGTCCATGGTGGAAATTTTGAAAATATTATCAATGTGCAATGGATCTCAAACTCTAGTATATTTTATAATTTACTGAACTTTTCCAGAATTGAATTTGCTGCTTTCCTCTCTAGGTAGCCTAATGAAATCATCTGAGGTGAGTCTGGAAACCTTTGTAAGAAAATATGCATTGGGATGAAAAGTGTCCCCTGAAATACATGTCCCCCCAGAGACTCAGAATACAATGTGACCTAGAAATAGATTCTTTGTAGATAGGGGTTGGGATAAAATCTTGCTGGATTGGGTTTAAATACTTATATTTCATTCTCATAAGGGAGAAATGTGCAGAACAAGAAGCAGACTAAAAGCAGCATGAAGTCAGAGGGGTAGATTTTGGGGTCACCAGGATCCCCAGGCAGCATCTCTGTGACCCAGGTCATTTAACATCTTCCATTTTCATTTAAGTTTATTTTATTTCCTTTATGTTGGTATTTTGGTAAATAATGTCTATACTACATATAGTCCAGCAAATTGTCATTCAACAACAATCACAAAATTTACTCTAGAAAATTTCAGCTAACTCTTTAAAATAAAAAGAATTTCCAAAGGAGTTAAATCTACCAATAACTTCTCTTTAGACATTTGCTTTCTCAATTAAATAAAGTATTTGCTTTAAACCATACAGTTTTGATCTTAATGCAAAAACAAGTACCATTCTTGGAAACAACTACAAAGGGCATTGGGTGAGGCCTAGAGTGGGAAAAAGATGTTCAAGAAAATGTTTTTGGTAGTCCACATCTTGGAGTAAAGAAAACTACAACTAAATTGACAACTCTGATACACTTCTGAAATCTTTGCATCTGTATCCAACTGCCTTCTAATAAATAGCAGAACAGGAATACTCCCATCATAAAATTAATGAGCAATCACAACGAGGCATGAAAGTTACATATTTAGCCTTGTACTGTCTTCTTTCACTTGTTTTTCCATTCATCTTGTCTTTTACTGGTCCATATGACTACACCTGCTTTATAGTCTAACTTCTGATTACATGTGTCCAGTCAATATTTATATTTGGAGGAAAATAAGAAATTTCTGGTTTGGAATTTTAAAACAATAAGAGACTTACTGGTTTGGGATGTAATCTGTGCCATCGAGCCAAACCCAACTTTGTCGTTCGCTGTTGTAGGATAAACTGAGGAAATATTTTGCTGTCTGCATATCACACTGCATCTTTGACAACTGCATTAAAAAATTCTGCAAAGAGAGGAAAATTAATCTGAAAGGAGAACCTGCCCTGAGCAGGAGAGCATAATTGTTTAAATATCTTAATTTCATTCATCAACTTCCCTTTATAATCTCTGTAAATGCATATATTTGCTAAGAATGTGGAATGATAAACTTTAGGCTTTTTGTTTTTTTTTTATAAACCTTGGTTTCTTTGATTGTCAACTGCTAATAACTCTTATTCATGAGTATATATTTTTTCTATATTACATCTTAGTGACTTTCTTTGGTGTGGGGTTGTGAAATTATGCAATAAATCTCATAGGTAGAGTCACTTAGAGCAGACAGAAAAAATTGAATAACATTTATGAATGTAAGTGACACACAGTGACACATGTCCAAAGATTGAAAAGAATCAAAGGAGAAGAAATAGCAGAAGTTTTATCAGGTCTCGGTGAGCACAGAATGTTTTCATAGGTTTGCCTAATAAATTTAACTCTGAGAAAAGAGAACAGTTATTCAAGAGAAGAAATTTTGGGTGAGAGGAAGAGGAGACATGAAACAATGTGAGAAATAGAAATGAAGAACCTCAGGGTCCTTCATGAGTGCAAAGAAGCTCATGGCCATTGAGCCCAGGAGGCTGCCCCAGAGCAGGGGTTGGGGGGTCTCAGTGGAGGAGGAAACCAGGTTACAGGCAGGAATCAGGTTTTAAATTTACTTAAATGCATTGCTTACACCTTATCCTAAGTGCTGACAAAGTTGAAAGGTATTATTAAAATTTACATTCTAAATTACTTTGCATTTCAGAGCTTTGTGACTCATATAAAAGGTGTTTGAGAGGAACATGAATCTTGTGTGATTTCTGTCGTTTTTAAATTATCCAATGCAAAACTCATTAAAATTTAAGAAACAAAATCTTATCTTTACCATCACTTCTTGAGTGTCCACTTTAACAAAGCTTGAATTTAAACCAGTGCAATATCCAGGACATTGTTCCCAAAGAAACGTCATTTTTGACAAAAAGTAGCAGTTAACTCCACGCTGATACCAGTTAGTTGAACAAATAGGATATTTCAAAACTATTAAAAAGGAGAATATTCATGAATCCCTTCCTCCAGTGCAAGTCACATAGTAAGTTTACACAACAAATCTACACTTTACAAACAGAACACATTTGTTTTAAACTACATTTGGGAGCTTTTTAATTTAAGGTTAGATTTATCGTACATTAACAATTCATCTCATTGAAAACATTTTGACCTTTAAGATTCATAATATTGCATAAGAGAGGCATTGTTTTAAATCACAAAATCAGAACTATATCAGGAAACACACCCCAAATATATACATGTAGTTTCTAAAAATGTTTAAGAGAAAAAGAAACATAGGTCCCTATGGAGGTGTCCATGGAGGATCACACCAAGACAATAATAACTAACAATAATAGGTTCATCCTCTCCCCAAAATTATGAACCAGAAAATCTCAAGGACTCCTACTATAACATCCCCTAATGGAAATTGGTTTTGCTGAAATTGTGTTCCCTTTGCCAATAACATTGGCCCACCCTTTGTCATTAACCCTTGAATATCCTTTCTGTTTGCTAGACAGGACACTGCTCAATCCATGAATCATATAATAAAACCAATTAGGAATTTATAATTGTTAATTTTATATTTTACAATAGATGACTCCTGACAAGTACTATTGCTACGTGCAGATTCCACTTTCATCTCTTGCAAGTGTACAGCAGAATATCAAGCAAAGTAATAGCTACAAGATGAATTCTCTCTGCTATCAATAAAATTATGACCAGAGGCTTCCAAAATTACCTGTTCCATATGCTTCCTTGTTGCACAAACTATTTCCTAGATGCCCATCTGCACCAACTGAATTCTGATTCACTGGAATGGATTCAGAAAGATCATTTTTAAATTCAAAGAGAAAAATTAATTGGAAAACCCTGTGTACCAAAATTTTACTATTTAGTAAATATATATATATTTAAAAAAAAAACCTAAAACATCACTTGTATTGAGGTATGTGCACAAGGTCCCTTGAGCTTCCCCTAATGGAAAGTGGCTCTGCAGAAATAACCTCCTTATACTTTGGCCAGCAGCTTGTCCCACCCTTTTTCTGTCTTTAAAACCCCTCCTTTGTATGTAAGCCCCTGCAGATCCTTTCTACATCCTAGCCAGGATGCTGTCCAATTGAAGAGTCATGTAGTGATCCAGTTAGAAATGTATATTTAGTAATCATATTGTTAACAATACATTTGACTGTATGAGAGGTACTTGGTCTCACAAGTAGATTCACTTTCACATGTACTCTCAGGTGTATGTATCAAGCCAAAGAACTGATGTAACAAGTGAATTCTCAGCTACTACAAATAAAATCATGACCCAGACACTTGTAAAGTTACCTTTTTTATTCCCTTCATTGTTGCAGGTGTTATATGAGCTCTGAATAACTGAAGAGAAATCAGAAAGATTGTTTTTAATCTCAAAGACAAAATTAATTGGACAATCCTGTTTCCCAAACACTATATTTACCTGAGAAAAACAAAAGTGATTAGTGAAACATCACTTGCACTAAGGGTAACAGAGATATAAACATTAGAATTAAACTGTAATGTGACAAATTCAGCTAGAAATTGTATAGAAGATGGAAATTCTAGTAACAGTGCAAGCAAGCTTTTTACAGAGCAAATAATTTTCAAAAGAAAAGCAGGAAAATGTCTTATAAATATGAAAGTTGACAAATTGACAAATATGACAATTGACAGACATTAAATGAAGTTCATGATATACTTTAAAATGAACAATTTTTGTATATTTGTAAGACATCATATTCAGTCTCTCTAGAGATTATTTTACTTGATCAAGGAATAGAATGAATCAAAAACTTCAGTATTGTCACCAGAGTTTTCAAACTATGATGTGGATTTCTATTTTATCCAGTGACTTACACTTGTACGCCAAGAACCCAACAGCTGCAAGCAACGCCAGGCAGAGGAGCCCCAGAATCACGGCAAGGACTCTCCATGAAGACGAAGGAGTAGAAAGACCTAGAAAAGAGATAAATAAGCCTGTGATATCAACTGTCTCTGCCTGAATTCAGCTTCTTTTTTAGGTGTAGTAAACTATGCAACACAGCTCACACCTAAAAGAAGGGAAAGCAAGATAATTTACAAAGTCATAATTCATTTTGTGTGAGAAAGCACAATTCAAAAGTAGTATGTTGAACTGAATTCAAAAGAGGACAACACCCTGTCTCTGTGGAAAGGCAGAACAGAGTCTACTTCACTTGTTCAAATCAGAGTAGGAAAAGAGGCAGCCATGAATCACTGAAGAATTTCAACAAAGTCTCTGAGGGGAAGAACAGGCTATTTTAAGTTTAGAATCCCTTATATGTGTAGAGCAAGTTGTGTTCGTTTTCTTGCTAGTAGAATCTGTTGGTTTCTACTGGGTTCTCGTGGAAAGAGAAGAGAATTTCAGAAGAACTAAGAGACCCCATCTGTGGCACAGTTCATGTAAGGTACTGCCAACATTTGTGGGTGTAGTGTGTATATCTGGGGACAAAGCCTGCCCTGATGGTTAAGGTAAAAGTCATGCATGGCTGTCTCTGAGTAATAAACATCATATCCACCAGGTGCCAGAAAGTCTTAATTTGAGGACCATGATGAAAACAAGATGCCTCTGGAAAAGGAATAATAAAACTTCACTCCCCACTACAGCAAGCATAAAACTAGTGTTCCTTTAATATACTTCTGGTTGTTTTGTTTTCAGTAAAACTTTTCTATAAAAGTTTAATAGTAATTACATATATTGGCAAGTTGAACTGTTCGTTAGAAATAATTTTTAATTCTAATAATTACAGGCATTCTAGTGGGAAATATTTTTAATTAAAATAAAATAGGTCAAATTTGTGATCATATGGTAATTACATAAGTAAATCTCATTAATCTTTTGATAATTACATAACTAAAATACGATAATCTGAGGCACCGGCAAAAAATAATAAATCATGTTAGACAAACTCGTGAATATCCATTTTCTACATAAGTCAAAATAGAATTACTATATTAATTCTAATCATTCACATGTAGATTTTAAATATTTGACAAATGCAAACTAGAAGCACTTAAAACATAAAGGAAAGCAAATTTCCAATTTCCAATGTTGTCAAATTTCCCATATTCATGTCAGGAATGTTAACATAAAAACAAGACACTTCAAAAAGATACAATTTAGTTCTTTATGCTGGTTCATAAATATATCAAGAAAACAAGAAAAAAATAATCCTCACGTCCAAGCAGGAATAAATATGAACATATCTAAACATTTTCCCTTGGTTATTATGCTCCCCGAATAAACATATACATTGATATTTTAAAATTTCAGAAAAAAAGTTAAATAAAATAATTCTATCAATAAATCTTTGACAAATCAAAAAAACTTTGATTCAACATTTATAATACATTAAAAAATTATAGTTGATAAAGAAAAGCCTTAATGTGTCCCCATTGTTATTTATTTCTCTGCCTTAGAAGACAAATATTTAAATTGTATGTATATGTGAACATCATAATGAATAACCTTGCATATAATCTTTAATAAATTTTTAAGAAGACATGTAGAAAGCTCACAAACCTTTATGCCGATGATTTGATAAATCCTTTTTCTTAAATCTTTCAACTTCTTGCCTTCTCTGGGGATGACCATGGCATTGATGTTGTGTTTTAGCATAAGTTACTTCACTCATAACTGTAAAGTATAAGGTGGCAATAAGTACAGCTAAAATATACTTTCAAAGAATAAATTGAGAAATTAGGAAGTATAAGTGGTGCTGGATAAAATATTATTGGAAATTAATTCAAAGATTAGTAAACTGAATGTAATCCTAAACATGAAAATAATTGAGTGGGAAAAATATGAATGCTATTTAATATACTTCAATATTTTTGTGGCACATAAATTATAAAACCCTTAAGGTAGTCTACTTGCACTTATGAATCAAATACAATAATAGATCTTCTATATAAGTGATGAAAAATGACATTACTGATAAGTCAAAATGCAACTGATGAGTGTTCCTTTATTGACATCCTTGGAATAAACTTCATTTGCACAGCTTGGAGTTCAGGTCCCTCCTCACCCTCTTGTGTTCTTACTTTTTAGTCTCTCCTTTATTCCACCTTCCTCCACAACTCCAATATAACAGATATTCATCCTTCCTGAATACTTTTGTTTCAAATTCATCAGTTTCAATTTTGTTTTGCTCTTATTTTTGCTCGTTATAATTTTCTATTTTATTTCATATACTATTCATAAGTCATCTTTAATAAAACTAGCAAATCCTTGAATAAAAAAAAACACTTCAATAAAAAATTTCTTCCAACTTTTTTCTCACACTTTATTTTTAATTGTCATGAAAATTATCTTATATTATTGTGATGTCATTAAAGTCTCCCCATTCAATTATGAAATCAATGCTATATCTCACTACGCTTTGTTTTGAAAAAATTGCTTGTTTGATTTCTTCATACACTATGAAAAAAGTTAATTTAGCTTCAAAGTTATACTGAATGAAGCCTAGTTCAGCTAAAATTTATAAAATATTTTTTCTTCATTACAACATTTTACAAAATTTGAAAGGAATCAATGTGAAGTATTATTTTCTCACTGGATAGATTATAGACCCAAGTACCTATCATCAAAAATCACATTTTATGGCTTGTTTCTATGCTTGGAATGTATTTCATATTACTAACAATTCTAAAGTGACATAAAATGTCATATCAAGTAATTACAGTACAATTATAATAAAATTAACTTTAAAACTCGAAAATAGTTTCTTTAAGCTCACACATAGTTTACTCTCCTGTCAACTCCCTTTTTAAATACTACTTTCTTGCCATTTTCTCTATGTCCTTTTTCCCTATCTGTAAGCCATATTTTCAATCTCTTTTTTTTTACAAATCACATACATTCTAGGTATAAATCTTGAAAATTCAATATACAAATGTATAATGTGTAGCTATACATATATGTATATAACCACACATTTAAGTGTATATGCCTTTAGTTTCCTTCAATCTCATTTCCCTCAAAATTCTGAAAAAAAAAAGAAACACATATTGAGAAATAAAATAAATATCTGGGAAATTATAATTACCTGAAATTTTTGAAGAGCGCGTATATAATATCTTGGAGAGAAGTGGATGTTCACTCTTATTAAAGAAGTTAGTATTTAAAAATTTCGAAAGACCATGATACACGTCTAGAGCCTAAACAAAAGATAAAAAAAGAAAAAAAATGCAAAGGCTAATAATGCTTTGGTCTCTCCTATGAGAGACTCTGATAAGAGACCAGAGTTCGAGAAGTAAGAGAGCTCTGGATGTAACCACACAGGAAGCTCTTCTACTGCTGCTCAGCTTAACTCGGTATCATCTCTAGATAGGATCTTTCTTCACCTTACCTACATTGCATAAGATACCCACCATATTTCCATAATTAGGCACTCCCTTTTAAACGATCTTTGTATTATCACAGATCTGTGTGAGCATCATCCACTATTAAGAAAGCAGTTTCATATATTGTTAATTTTCATGTATTGTATAAAATTCTCAATTCAATTAAAATCCAAATAAATCCTTCACTTTCTGATGTCTCTTGTTGATCCTTTCAGTTCTAGAGTAGGTGCTGTATTTCATTGCTAGAAGGTGCGCATGGACCTGTTTCTGACCCCTCCACCTTTCTTGTTAATGGACAGCTTATCAGTTCTCAAGAATCATTCCTATTAGTCATGTCACAGAAGAAGCCAATAATAATAATCGATGAGCTATTCACATTCATATCAAATTAGCTTCATACAATTTTATGCTTTGAATGATAGAAAACATTTAAAACTTTTCAAATTATACACTGTTTTAGCTTAGGTTATTTTCAATTTGTATTTGTTTTATCCATTAATATGTCAAATATTTTAACTAATTAATATGGATTATTTCTTCATCATCTGTTAGAAAACATGCATTTTTGAAGCTACTAATAGAAAATATATTCACAATATTAATGTGAATTAAAGTATCCATTGCCCTTATAAAATTGAATAATAAATTTAGGTATAAAGGTAAATATACTAACGTTACATCTAAGGAATTGGGAAAACTTTATAAACAAACATGGTAAAATAGATTTCAAATGTAGAAACATTTTAACTCAAATATTTAAACTTCTTCTGAATTTTTAAGATTATTAATGAAAACAAACTGGTAGTAAATATATCCAGTTAATAAATATAAGTAATTATAAATGCTGTTGTATACTAGAAGCCAGAAACCCAACACTGGCAGACTTTTAACTATTAATAACAAAGTCCCTCTAAGTCACTATTCCTTTAAGAAAGAAGAAGCAGAAAAAAACTACTCTGAACTATATGCAGTGTTCTAACAAATGTTACCTCTATTATAAACAAAGAAAAGGGGTCTTCCTAGGGGTGCAAGGGGTTAAAGTGCAGCACTATGAAGCTAGCCAGAGCCACTGTGGCAGGAGTTTGATCGCTGGCCAGGGATGTTACCCAGATGGGCAGCAGACCTCTTTCCCTGCTGCTCCCCTCAGCAATGTATCTTCAGTATGCTGATATCCTTGTTTGTGTGAGGAGGACAGGAACAATCACAATGATTGAATCCATCTGTTCTGCTCCCCACTCTATCTCTGTAAGCCTTCTCACTGCCTCTGAACACCTCTAGCCTATATTGCAGTTCTTGAATCATAATAAATAAAACTTTTTTTATAAAAAGACAGAAGGTAAGCTCCAAGATGCAGTTAATATAATTAATCATATTTTTAAAAATTGTTTGGATAGAAATGATCTGTGCCATTGAAGTGTTGAATGCTATTAGACCAATACTTGAAAATTTTATCTAGTGCTTATTCTCTTTTACAGAATTCTTTATTGGAAATCAATTAAAATAAAATGTAAGCCTGAAAAAGTAGATCTTTGTTAATAGTTATTCACCAAAATAGATTTTGTAACTCAACAAGAAAATCAGAAATATTACATGTAGTATAATGGGAAAAAAATTTTAAATGATTAATTAACTCAGTATAAAATGATGAGGTCATGAAAGAACTTGATAAATGATTCAAAAGTATGAAAGTATTTATGAAGAGTTTTGTTTGTTAATTTAGTCATAGTAGTAACTAAAATTATAACGAGAAATTAGTTGCCCATGTTGAAAAGGCATCTACTGTCATGAACAGATAATCACTTTTCTTACATATTTTCAATGTTCTTAGCAACAAAAGCACACACACACACTTAGGCAAATCTACACTCATTGTTTATTATTTGTAGTTAATTACAACATGATTGAAGAAAAATGTGGTAAGATATGACTGCTTTATGTTATTAAGGTTTGTTTTATGGAACAAATTATGGTTTAACTCATCAAAGTTAGTGTGCAAACTTTTGTTATTGGGTAAGTTGTATAAATGACAGTTCTAACAAGATGTTGGATAGCATCCAATAGATTTTCATTATTGTTTTGATACTTAAATCAATAATTTCTAAGAACAGGGTACGTTTAATATCTTCAGGAGGAATTATATTTTTTTGTCCTTTTTCAACTGTGTCAAATATTGGTTCATAAATTTTGAACATTGCCATTGCATTCATAACATTGTGATTATTATAATTATATACATGAATTTGGCTTTATATATACGGATTAAGTCAATTTACGTGTGCTTGTGTATGTGTACATATAAGTATATGTATAGTTATATATGTGTATGTATACATGTGTATCATCAATATATTTATTTTAAATCACTTAGGACTTAACAACTATTACATAGAAAATGATATCTAAATGGACAATAATGTCCAGCACTATTAATCAGAAAGATTTTCCTTTAATGCCAGATTTAAGTTATAATTATATCAAGAGCTGTACTTTAACAAAAGTCGCTTTATTGGCATAAAGCAAGCAAAAGGAATCTAAAAACTATCACTTGGATATTTACTGGGGTAAATTAACTTTCTACAGGGATTTGACCATTCTTAAAAAGATTATTGATTTTTTTTCTGTTGTTAATCATTCTTTAGTCTTTTATCTGTGATGCATGATGAAAATAACTTTCCAAGTTTTGATGTGATTTTGATTTTGCTTTAGGTGTTTTATGCTATGCCAGATTTTCCCATTTTTACATTTATTGTATTTAAATTTTTAGAATAATTAAGAAGTCTTTCCCCAGAAAGTAGTGACTGCCATTTTCTTTCCATACATATTTCCTTAATATTTTAAGATCCAATTTTAACCTTGTACATATGATTATCCAGATGTCTCCAGAACATCTATTATGAAGCCCATGTTTGACAATAATACTTTTTCAAATTTAAATTTCTGTATGTAGTTGAGACTGCTTTTGGCCTTTACATTCTATTCCATTGTCTATCTATTTCTGTATTACCAGTCACCAAACTTTTCTTTATGGGGGACTTTAAAGTTTGTTTAAATATTAAGTTAAAAATTAATATTTAATATAGGTGACATATGATACATATATATCAAATAATATATGGTACATATTTGATCTTTAATGTTAAAATATTTATTTAAAGATTTATTTATTTGTGCATACAGAACTGGGGTACAGGCCAGAGGCTCATGGGAGGTGAGAGGCTTCCCCAGAGACAGACAGGGGAACAGAACAGGCAGATCGACCGAAGTACACTGCTGAGGGGAGCAGTGGGCGGGTCAGGAGAGGTCTGCCACCTCACGTGGTCACCTCCGGGGCAGGCGGGAATCGAACTCATGCGGAAGCGGCTCTAGATTCTCAGTGCTTTGCTTTAACCC